CATTCAGAGAACTAAGAATAAAATTAATAAAAATCATAATGTTAATACAGTGCTTTGAGGAACAAAAAACACTTGTACTAAAGGTCTTGCAGTCAATAAAACAGAAAACTGAGACACCTGTTCCCTTCCCTAAGTAAATCTGGAGATGAGGTATGAGAAATAGGAATGATGATGAACTCAGAGGTATCATCAGTAATTAAAAATTCATACAAATACCGTCTTTAAGAAAAACTTATGAAGATAGAAAATAATTAGGCAATGATAGCCTGCATTTAGCCTGACCCTGCAAGAGGGTCAGAATCATATTTCCTGAATTAATTGATATTTACTCTAGCTGCCTTGGGCAGACAAGCACCGTACCAGCCCCATGCCAGCCGAGAGGGGCAGACTAATGACAACATTATTCCAGAGCCCAGCTTGGCTGAGGACCTACAGCCATACATGCAGATGGCTGCGCGACTCCCACTGAGCATTTGCTTCAGCCCACCCCAACTGCTGACTTCGCGATTACATCAATTTATGTGTATTGCTTCAAACTTGGGAAGAAAATAGAATATGTATATCTTGAGCAAATTATGCAAAATTTATAAGCTTTGGGAAATATGAGAAGTTCTTGAGATTCCAGAAGGATAATTGGGATTATTTACAAAGAATCAAATGGATACAGACATGAGACAAGAAAGTATTATTTTTAAAGTTTTGAAGAAGCCTAATGTTTTACATATAACTGAGTTACTTACATGTAAAAAAAATATAAACAAACTAATAGACATTTAATTTCTCAAAGAGAATGCCACATAAAATTTCTGGTTAAAAAATTCTCTTGGAATGGTTTGTCCTATTGAAAATGAAATGCATGAACAAACAAAAAGCAAAAGATATTCATAAGTATTTAAATAGGACACAGTAAAAAAATAATATCTGTATCAAAAATTACAGGTGTTCATTTTTCCTGAGAGGGGCAGTAGAGGAATATGTATCAATAAGTTCTAAGCAGTGGTGGAGATAAAGTGCCATTTCTGTCATTGTAATAAAGGCCCCCAAAGCCTCGTATGTTTGTAAGATGCTTGTGTCACTGGTTGCTGTGCTTGTTGGTAGATTCATCCAGTGGTAAGTTCAGAGGCTGACTGGGCTGCTGGAAAGGGGCCTCTGGTCAGAAGAGGGTGGCCCTTTGGGGCCTGCCCCAGAGGTGGGCGTCACCCTTGCCAGCTCTGCCTTTCCTTTGCTTCCTGACTGCTCTGAGGTGAGCGCCTTCTCTCCACACATTGCAAAGTTTCTGCCTTCGTTGGGCTAGCCAGGTAGGGACTGCAACTGTGAGAAGTAATGAGTGTAAATAAACTTCTCCTCTGTTATGTGGTGGGTCTTGGGCATTGTGTCTCATTGGTGAGAAAGTGCCTATCTATGACCGTAAGAGAAGGATGCTACTGAGAAACATAAAAATGGAATATGAACTACTAAATTTAGTACACAAAAATCAATTTATATTCCAGAAGCTGGGAAAAGAACAGTAATTTTATCAGCATAAACAGCAATCAAATGACAAACTTTACAGTTGGATAGGAAAATAAAATGCTAGCAGTCTTCTCCACCAGGATAGGCATAAAGCAGGGTCGAGAGAAGTTACATATAAGGTAGTGAATGCATGCACTGCTAGGCTGATAAAAAAAAATAAAGAATAGATATTTTTAAACTCTACAAAATAAAATGCCAAGTTTTAAAAACTCACAAAGAAGACAAACATTTATATAAAAAAAGAAGATACAATGGTAGTGAACAATATAAGCTTAACAATATATTCTTGAATGTTATCAAGGAGTAACCAAAAAACTGAGTTCAAATAAATGTATGTTACCCATGCTTATTTCCCTGTGTTTGTGGGTTTTCAAGTTCTTTGGCCATTTCTTTTCCTCTTTACCTACGTACTTATGTTCATTTTCCTATCATTACTGAACTGGTAGCACTATTTGAAACTATTTTAGGTTAGTCGTCGGTCTCTGTTACGACAGTGAGTTTTTTCTCGGCCTTTCCTGCGGGATCCGTGGTACGTGTCTCGCGACTTCTTTATTCCCAGACTCAGAAGGACATTCCCACTCGCACTCTCTGCTTCTTCACACCCCCTCACATTCCCTGCTTCAGTCTCCACCACTGACCCTTTATGTCTCGGTGCCCAGCTCTCCGCAGCCTCCACTAGAGCCCCGTGGTCCTTCTAGAAAGCTCAACAGTCGAGCAGCCAAAACCAACTCGTTACAGTGTCAGAAACTCGCCTTGTTTCTTAAGAACTTCGACCAGGAAGTGCATGGGCAGATCAAACAAATTGAGTCAGACAGGCAGAACCTCCTCAAGGAGGTGGATAACTTATACAACATCGAGATCCTGCGGCTCCCCAGGGCACTGCACTAGATGAACTGGCTCAAATACTTTACCCTTGGAGGCAACAAACAGGCCCTGGAACAGGCAGCAACAGCTGAAGTGGCTATCACAGAAAGAGACAAGCTAACAGCAGAAGCTATTCAGACACCCTCAAATCTGCCAAAAAACGGAAGGTAGTATGAGTGGACGAAATGATGATGGAAGAAGAAAAAATAAACCTCAGAATTCCCAAATTACAAGAATCAAAAGGTGTATGCCATCTAAGAGAACCTAGTCTGTACAAAGAAAAGGCAAAAGGTCAAGCTATGACAACCTCATGACCCCAGCTGTGGGTTGGATGGAACTGTCTATGGTGAAACCAACTCTGGGCATGACACACCGGTTTGACTCCAGGGTCTTCAAGACTCCAGGCCTATGCACTCTAGCAGCCGGAGGGCAGATGTGCAACCTCTCCGGCAATGGTAGCCCTCTGGTTGACAGCAAAAAAATCTCCCTCACTGTGCCAGTGGGGGGCAGTGAGAACGTTCGACTATTGGCCAGTGACTCGCAGAGGATGGATATTGCACAACTGGATCCAGAGGCCTCAGGAAACAGTACTAAGCTCTCCAACCATCTCGCCCAAATCTGCAGCACCACACAGACCCCCAAATGAGAAGACATCAGGTGCACATTGGATTAGGTTGGAACTTGCTTGTCTCCCCTCTCCCCTCCTGTTGCTCCTCCCCCGGTGCAGGGGAGGTGGGTTTACTAAGGAAACCCCTAGGACGTTTCACCTGCTGTGCCCCGCAGTTCTTGTCAACCTGATTTGTGGAACAGCATTTTGTGCTTATTCCTGTTTACCGAAGAACAAAAATTGCTTGGAGGCAGCTTCTACATATTGCACCTCTACCTCTCTAGTCAATGGGAATTTAGATGAAGGAATCATAGGGCTTAGAGTGGTCTAGGGTTGTGAGTGACCAATCACAGAGTAACTCTCTAAGCTCTCTGATCCAGTGGTCCTTACTGAGTCTGCCAACTGCATTTGATGGGATAGGATCATGTGGAGGACAAACATAACTTGTCTCGTGACCCCATTCCACATGTTTAACCTATGCCCATGGTAAGGACTAGTTAGGTCAAGTCAGCAGAGAGACCTTTGTGCTTCAGCCCCAAAGAATCATGTCCTGTAGTCCAAGAATTTGGGAACAAGCAGTTTCATTCCAGGCTTGTGGGCACACAGCCTTCTTCTGGACAGCTCTTGGTTATATTTTGTATTAGGAATTCAGGTCTACCCAGATTGAATTGTTTTGAAGTGTTTTTAGTCTCCCTTTCCAACGACTTTTGTACATACTGTCTTCCTGCGTAATGGTAACCCTGCTTTCAATAAATTCATGTTTGGTTTCTTTAGTTAAAAAAAAACTATTTTAAACAAATGAAGAGAAAGGAGAATTGGATTCAAATAGTCTAGAGTTTCTGTTTGATAAAAGTTTTGCACTAATATTATTTCAAACAAGGGCCAAAGGAAATCACAGGATTTGCTGTAACTTTCATTTACTCTTTCTGGCTCTTTTCTAAAACTCCCTCAAATAATGGGAGACAGACACATACATTTCCTAAATTTTAAGCTTCCACTGAAGTCAATCATGTAGAATAGTAAAAGAGTCAACTATACAAAATCTAAACACACAGAAAATAGTGCATTTCCTCTAAAAACCAGCACTTTGGGTAGAATCCATGGGTTATAATTTAGTTTTATATTTTCAGTATAAACAAAGGTGCTATAGAAAAAAAAGCAAGTATATTTCTACCTATATTCTGGGAAGAGTCTATTTTTATATTCTGTGCTTTGCTTGAAGAAAAGCACATTCTGAAAATAGCAACATATAATTAGCCAAATAATGGCATTTTTAAAAAAGGAATGAAATATTTTATTTCTAGAATTTTAAAAATCTTCCTTAAACACTGTACTATAAATAAAATAATAAGTATATAATTAAATTATTATGCTTCAGAATTCTTTGGTTAGTTACTAATCACAATATGAATTTTTCTTCTTTGGGGTTATATTCAGAGACTATTTCATACACTGTTTTAGAATTCTAATACTACATTCACATGTACATATGATTTGTTTCACTGTTCCCTTTCCAAATGTATGACAAAAGAATGTAATAATATAGACACCCTCAACAAATACAAATATGCACTAGACACTCTTCTCCATTTAAAAATACAATGATATATTTAAAATGTGATCTTCTCCATTCACCTTATACAGTAAACTTCGTTAACAATGATGGATGTAAACTGTTAGCTAAGGACCTTGGGTACTCTAAGAACTAAATATAGGTGTTTTGTTTCTCCCATCATACCTACATCTTAAATTCCTTCAGCTCCTATCTGTCAGGAAAAGGCTGCCAGGTGAGCAGGCTGTCACTCTTGCCTAGGTTAATATACTCTCCAGTGGCTTTTGTTACAGCTCATGTCATACCATTAAAACTATGTGTCTTGAAAATGGCATAACATATGTAGCTGAATCGTGTCAACTCTAGATAATCAGACTCTGTGCGTCTTCACAGACAGATGCAGACTAGAGAAGCAATACCAATATGCAAATCATAGTGGTCCCCTTTCAGCACCACTGTTCCTACCTCTAATGGCCCTCGCAGAAAGTCTGTCTGTTCAGCTCCCACCTCCAGTGCTACATCAACAGAAGCGAAGGGACGGCTGGCCATCTGCTGTCTTTCTCGAAGCAGTTGCTGGAGGGGGTTAAAAATGATTAGCGTTAAATTAGGCTTAAAAGCACATTACATTCCACGGTATCTGGTTTCATTTTGGAATAGAACTGAAAATTTAGGAATCATTTCATACACATATAAATATCTGGAGAACTAAGGATAATAATTACCTCCTCCCCACAGTCTATGTTCTTTCCACAGAGGCATTAAATGTATAGTGTATGCAAATAACTTTCCCACTGACCTCCAACCCTTAGACCTAAAAAAATGCAACTAAAATCACTCTGTAAACCTCTGGTGAGAGATGCTACTTAAATAAAAAAATTCTTTATAATGATGGCTATGCAATCTTTGCCAATCAAAGTAACCCATGCTTTTGTTTCGCCTAAAATGAAAAATAAATGAAAATGATTCAGAAATGATAATGAAAAAGTATCAAAATACATTGAGATTAAAGGAACAGTATATGTCAAGACTAAACTTTGTGTATGATCAGTATTTCCTATGCATAGCTGGAAGCAGTAGGAATTATGTATCTTTATTCAAACTCTATGTTCTTTTTTAAAAATGATAAATGACTAATGAGTTGAAGAAATTCTGTTCCCCAGATTTCTACAGCACTCCTAGCTATTTGTACTTTCTCCTTATGCCTAATCTGGCATTTACCCAATCTAAACCAATAAAAGAACAAGTCCCAACCAACTACTAAGTTAATTTATGTCTGCCTCTCTTTGTAATTATAACATTCATTAAGATATAAGAAAAAACTGATGAGCTGCCCTAGATATTACAAATCTTGTCCCTCTCATTCAATACAGCTAATAAAATTATTATTAAATATTAAAAAATCATGAGCAATCCAATTAAATACTCTTTCAAATGAGAAGAATATCATATTGTTGAAGAAGGCTTGAATATAATGAATGGCCTCATTATTTATAGAGATTTTGAAGGTTCACTAGCATGAACTTAACATTAACTATTGGTTTTGAATGTAAGTGGATGAAGCACTGTGATGCATGCTTCATATAATTGCTTTGTCTATGAAGAAGGAACACAAGTCAACACATAATGGTGCTTCATTATTTATTATTTTTTATTTTTTCATGAATACAAAATATACATCAAAAATTATAGTACTCTGAAAAAAGAGATGGAAGAGAATTTCAGAAAATGAAAAGACATTCCTTGTTCCTGGGAAGAAAAATGAACATTGTGAAAATGGCCATACTCCCAAAATTATTATACAGATTCAATGCAATCCCAATTAAAATACCAGTAGTGTACGTCACATATCTAGAAAAGACATTCCTAAAAGTCATCTAGAACCAGAAGAGACCTAGAATAGCAAAACCAATCCTGGGCTACAAATGATAGACAGGAAGTATCACAATCCTCAATTGGAAATGGTACTATAAAGCTGCTGTAATAAAATCAGCATGGTACTGGCAAAAACAAAAAAATAAATTTAAAAAACCCAGACCTGAGGATCAATGGAACTCATTAGACCATTTACACACAACTACACAGTAAGCCATTTTACCTTTGAAAAGGGGTCAAATATGTTCAATAGAAGAAAGAGAACCTCTTTCATAAATGGTGTTGGAAATATTGGCTTTCCACATACCAAAGGCTTAAAACAGACTGATGCCTATCACCATGCACAAAACTATAGTCAAAATGCGTCACAGATTTAAATACAAAACTGAAACACTAAATCTTCTGGAAGAAAAAGTAGGTAGAAATCTTAAGGACATAGAGGTAGGTAAAGAGTTCATGAACAAAAACCAAACTGCATGGGAAATACTTCAAATAATCAACAATGGAGAACTCATCTTTTTGAAAAGTTTATGCACATCAAAAGAAATCACCAACAGAGTAAAAAGAAAACCTATAAATTGGGGGAAAATGTAGTAGACTGTCCTTCAGACAAAGAACTCCCATCTAGAAAATATAAATATTTAAAAATACTTGGGCCTCCAAAATTTATTACTTAATGTTTTTAACACTCATGACACAGTAGTGGTAGTGTTCATGGGGTAAAGATCTAGACCATAATTTAAAGCCTTTCTCTATCATTATTGAAAACAAACATCCATACATGGTGGAATAGAAGTAATGCAACTGTTAATTAATGATAGTTCAATCCATAAATTAAGTTTTTCTAGAATTAGTGAATTCATATTAAAAATATACAAAGTCAAAAGTAACTGTGGTCTACATTATAAATTATTCACTTTAATATAAATTCAAAATTCTATTATTGAAATACAATATATTAAATTATCAAATAGAAACTGCATTGTGCTACTCTCAATAGGTCTGAGCAGAAGGATAGAAGACACACACTCTTTGATTTTTGCATAAAACCAAACATACCAACATGCGATCTTCCCCAATTTCCAATCCTGAAATACCCAAAAATATGCAATCTTCCATTCCCATGAAATACACACGTAGCTTTGAGAAAAATGTAATTCTAGCTTCTCCTCAAACACAGTTCTTAGATATTTTTCCTTGACAGTGCCAGCCCTGCCCCCAGGGCATGCTGAGAGGGCAACTGAGACTGGGTGTGAGGGCACATGCCTGTAATCCCAGCTCTTGTGAGGCTGTAAACAGGTGGATAACTATGAGTCCTATATAGTAGTGAGACCCTGAATATCTCAAATCTTAATGCACATTGGTAAATATCCCAAATTTACTATTTTGGCAAAGATTTGGTTCCCTGGAATATAATGTATTTTGCGACCTGCAACACTTAAAGTAAATCCAGTGACAGATACTTTTCTTCAAACTGTTTTTAAAATGCATAAGTATATAGTTAAAGGTTCCAGCTTTTCTATTGAGTTTTGAGCTTTTTATCACATATTAAGAACTAAATGCTTTCTCTATTATTGTCTGCAGAGAAGAGAAACATTGTTGCAATCCAATACTACAGTTTTTAAGATGTGGCATGTAACAAAAAGAGTTAGAGAATAAGATAGGTTATGTGTAAAGGGTGCAGATAGTGTACTAGACAAATAAATTTTTCTGAGGCTTACTCTCGCTGGCATAACTAAGTTTCTGACTTGGGGAAGTTGTGAAAAATTCTTACTATGAATCTTAGGAAGCATGAAGCACTTTCCCTGAAATATTTTTCTCTGGTGTGATGGCTTCAAAATAAGAAATCATTCCTATTAATTTCCTCTATATCCATCAACTGCCTTTCCTCTCACCAACTCATGCCTGGATATATTACCTGCAAAATTTTTCTAGAAGAGACAATACCAACAATATGTTTACAATTCAAATTGTGTCACAATTTATAATGGACATACATAATTAGGAGGCTCTTACTGACATGCAGCATAGGAAGGATATTATCTGTTTGAATTTAACCAAATAACTTGGAACACTAAGTCTCAATATTCTTATCTGTAAAACACAAGTTTTCTTATCTGAAAAGTGGAGATAGTGAAAGTATGCTTCCTCACCGCCCTTCACCCCTGCACACTGACAAACTGTCTTAAATCTCAGCTTTCCTATTTACTAGGTTTTGGCCCACAATAAAATTACTCAAGCCTTTTCCATGCTCATTTTTTTTTCTCTGCATAAAGCAAGGGGGAAGAGTTATTGTATGGTAACTATGCTTCTACTGTCAATTTGTAGTTTCAGTCCAATATGTTATGAAAGCTTGCTTTGCAGGATTTGCATTTCTTTGCCTATGTTACAGTCTTTACTATTGGTATAAGCAAGATGTCTTGAGTTTAAAAAGTTAATTAATTATCATAATATGTAAACCTATGAAGATAGACTGCAGCTGAGTGAGTGGTGAATTGGGAGATAGTAGCTAGTGGGTAGAGTGTTTTGTTTGGGAATAACAAAAATAATCTACATTTGATTATGGTCATGGTTCTATAACAATTGTGAATTGTGTATTATGCAAATTTTAGCTCAATAAAACTGTTATTAAATAAAATGTGAATAGCAATGATATTTTCAGGTTGTATGGTTCAGAATAAAGAAATAGCATACGTGGACCATGTAGCACAGGTGCTGACACGCAGTGAGCATCTAGTGACCGTTCATTAGCTCACTACTCTGTTGAATTTTCAAACACAAATTTTTGTCTTTGAAGATGGCACACTGATTTCCACAAGTTCATTTTCTCACCACTGGTGACACATTATTCTTTACTAGTCTCCATTTTACCAAATGTTACAAATTTACTAGACAGTTGGAAAATGCCACTATTGTGGTAGAAAAAACTTATATTTAAAATGTTCTCTGGCATTTGTGACTGAGAATGATTAAAACCTCAACCTGAAAATGAGAAGAAAATATTTAGCACTTTCCTAAGAAATTCTGAAAGTTAATATATTTCCTGCGATAATGTTCTTCATATAATATAAAGTTTAACATTTTCACATGCCATAAGAAGACACTAACAGATGTACCTATTTTATATCTAATCTGCTACTGTTCTGTTCAGCACAACAATAAAACCAAGAGAACACATTGATCATAATGCAATATATTATATTCATTCTGCCATAAGCATTGTTGTAATTTTAAAAATTAGAGTTCTTAGTATCATATTTGTTGTCTGAGATAACTGACTAATCAAAGTTATTTATATATCTTATAAAATATATCACAGAAATAAAAGTAATATGAAGGTCAATACATAAGTTTGATAATTACAGTCATATTCACTTAAATTTTCCAGTTATTGATTCTATCTATTTCATATACATTCCATATATATATATACATACATATATATATATATAGTTCTTCCATTTAATATTTCTAATTCAAATATTGAATCATTTTATAAGTTTCTATTAGCTACCTTTCCATTTACAGTGTGCAATACAACTCTAAATTTTAGGGTAACAAGCTCTAAAAAAAACCACAGAAGAAAACAGTAGCTAACTTTGCCCTCAAGTTGTCCTTATAGTTTCCATATCATTCTTTTATGTTTAGGTTCTATCTATGTCCTTCTCCATCACCTCCAATTCTTATTGGATCCTATGTTT